ACTGTGTTGATGACTGTACAGCTCCAGACTGTGTTGATGACTGTACTGCTCCAGACTGTGTTGATGACTGTACTGCTCCAGACTGTGTTGATGACTGTACTGCTCCAGACTGTGTTGATGACTGTACTGCTCCAGACTGTGTTGATGACTGTACTGCTCCAGACTGTGTTGATGACTGTACTGCTCCAGACTGTGTTGATGACTGTACAGCTCCAGACTGTGTTGATGACTGTACAGCTCCAGACTGTGTTGATGACTGTACTGCTCCAGACTGTGTTGATGACTGTACTGCTCCAGACTGTGTTGATGACTGTACAGCTCCAGACTGTGTTGATGACTGTACAGCTCCAGACTGTGTTGATGACTGTACTGCTCCAGACTGTGTTGATGACTGTACTGCTCCAGACTGTGTTGATGACTGTACAGCTCCAGACTGTGTTGATGACTGTACAGCTCCAGACTGTGTTGATGACTGTACTGCTCCAGACTGTGTTGATGACTGTACTGCTCCATACTGTGTTGATGACTGTACTGCTCCAGACTGTGTTGATGACTGTACTGCTCCAGACTGTGTTGATGACTGTACTGCTCCAGACTGTGTTGATGACTGTACTGCTCCAGACTGTGTTGATGACTGTACTGCTCCAGACTGTGTTGATGACTGTACTGCTCCAGACTGTGTTGATGACTGTACAGCTCCAGACTGTGTTGATGACTGTACAGCTCCAGACTGTGTTGATGACTGTACAGCTCCAGACTGTGTTGATGACTGTACAGCTCCAGACTGTGTTGATGACTGTACTGCTCCAGACTGTGTTGATGACTGTACAGCTCCAGACTGTGTTGATGACTGTACAGCTCCAGACTGTGTTGATGACTGTACTGCTCCAGACTGTGTTGATGACTGTACAGCTCCAGACTGTGTTGATGACTGTACAGCTCCAGACTGTGTTGATGACTGTACAGCTCCAGACTGTGTTGATGACTGTACAGCTCCAGACTGTGTTGATGACTGTACTGCTCCAGACTGTGTTGATGACTGTACTGCTCCAGACTGTGTTGATGACTGTACAGCTCCAGACTGTGTTGATGACTGTACTGCTCCAGACTGTGTTGATGACTGTACTGCTCCAGACTGTGTTGATGACTGTACTGCTCCAGACTGTGTTGATGACTGTAGTGCTCCAGACTGTGTTGATGACTGTACTGCTCCAGACTGTGTTGATGACTGTACTGCTCCAGACTGTGTTGATGACTGTACTCTAACTGTTACATATAAAAACAGTCAGAAATACCAACTGCTACGAGGGTCATTAATCACCAACTTCCTGTAATATCCTCCCGGGGAAAGACGATTGGAGGCAACATTCGCAGCTGAGAAAACACAGGTGATGATGATAAGAAGAATTAATGGTATTGGAAATCTTACTGGCATACAAATGTGCTGCAATATTCCTGTGTTCAGTGATGGTGTTGACATGTTGGTAAGGCAGTGTGACTCTTTAATGACCATCAAATGTCACCTCCTCAACCTTAGTCAAGACAGCCAGGAAAACTACAACCCTTAATTAAGTGCATATATATATATATATATATATATATATATATATATATATATATATATATATATATATATATATATATATATATATATATATATATATATATATATATATATATATATGTCGTACCTAGTAGCCAGAACACACTTCTCAGCCTACTATGCAAGGCCCGAATTGCCTAGTAAGCCAAGTTTTCCTGAATTATTATATTTTCTCTAATTTTTTTCTTATGAAATGATAAAGCTACCCATTTCATTATATATGAGGTCAATTTTTTTTTATTGGAATTAAAATTAACGTAGATATATGACCGAACCAAACCAACCCTACCTAACCTAACCTAACCTATCTTTATAGGTTACGTTAGGTTAGGTAGCCGAAAAAGTTAGGTTAGGTTAGGTTAGGTAGGTTAGGTAGTCGAAAAACAATTAATTCATGAAAACTTGGCTTATTAGGCAAATCGGGCCTTGCATAGTAGGCTGAGAAGTGCGTTCTGGCTACTAGGTACGACATATATATATATATATATATATTATATATATATATATATATAAAAGATCACTGCCATCTTGAGAGTGTGCCACATCTAGACTGCCTGCATACATATCATTCATTAAGAATTGTGGATAAGATAAAGAATCATGCAAGGAGTTTTATCTCTTATCTTGACCTATTCAGGTTGGACTGGTCAGAACGTCACAACCTTCAACACCGAGAGATGTTACTGGATTTACTGTTATGTAAAAACCAATGTTCTCAAAGTTCCGCACCTGGCCCAACTTGGTAGACAGCCAGAGGGTGGCACTCACAACACAAGGCGCTCAGCCTTCAACAGCCTCACTCCTCATGAGTTTCTCAAGAACATCACTCCATCAGCGATCATTCATTCTTGGGTTGACTGCCATCTGAACTTTGTTGATACTCGTGAGATCCAAGAACCGAGCACATGAAGGCTCTGCCACACAGCTTCTGACTCTCCCTTATATGAAAGGTACTTACCATTAAAGGTAGTTTATTACTAATAGTTGCATAGAATTAAGTCATCAAATAAAAGAGATGATGTAGGATAACAGCTCCTGCTTGCAGTGACTCTAGGGTCGTCAGATTCATTCTTAATTAACTAACTCCACCCCTAGTTTACACAAGCTAAGATAAAGCAAACATTTGAGAGAGAGAGAGAGAGAGAGAGAGAGAGAGAGAGAGAGAGAGAGAGAGAGAGAGAGAGAGAGAGAGAGAGAGAGAGAGAGAGAGAGTAAGAGAGAGAGAGAGTAAGAGAGAGAGAGAGAGTAAGAGAGAGAGAGAGTAAGAGAGAGAGAGACAGAGAGAGAGAGACAGAGAGAGAGAGAGAGAGAGAGAGAGAGAGTAAGAGAGAGAGAGAGTAAGAGAGAGAGAGAGAGAGTAAGAGAGAGAGAGAGAGTAAGAGAGAGAGAGAGAGAGACAGAGAGAGAGAGAGAGAGAGAGAGAGAGAGAGAGAGAGAGAGAGAGAGAGAGAGAGAGAGAGAGAGAGAGAGAGAGAGAGAGAGAGAGAGGAGAAACATTTCACATTAATTATGCCTTTCACCGCAGAGTTCCCAACTTCTGCTTCGCTAATTATCTTGTAATTGAACTAATTCCACTTAATCCGTAATTGGATTTGTACTGGCAGTATTGAGTGAAATTATTCTTTGTGTGAACTACCACTGCTCACTATTCATGACTGCCGGAGCACAGACTCATTATATAATAAAAGTAATCAATAATAATACTAGCATAACGCTCAGAGAGAGGTCGGGATGGCAACACCAGCAGGGCTGAGTTGCCATCAGGTAATTAGTATTCCAGTGCCTCCAATTACTGCTGTTTTAATGTTATATTCAATATATTATTTCATGTTTATATATTTATTACTCTCTCTCTCTCCCCCTCTCTCTCTCTCCATTTGTAGCAGTGTACAAAATATCAAGATGATAATAATTTTTAATATTAATAATAGAATGATAATAATTTAATATTAATATTAGAATTTGTAATAGAATTGTGCCGAATAATAGATTTTGTACAAAATGAGAAGAAGAAGAAGAAGAAGAAGAAGAAGAAGAAGAGGGAATAAAGAAGGAGAGTATAAAGTAAATGAAAGTCCATCTGAAGGCGGCCTTTATTTGGAACTACAATTTGCATAATTTCCCATTTGAATAACAATTGCTCAGTATCAGATACTGTGCAGAGGTGGCCAATACCCCAGCATTGCTCTCCGCCTCACAGCATGCACACGCTAACACGAATTTATGATATTCCTGCAGCCAATTTTTTTTTCCAATCACATTCACCATATATTTACAACCCATACTCGACATATATATATATTTACATCCATATTTAATATATATTTATAGCCATATTTAACATTAATTTTCAGTATTATTCAATATATATTTAGAGCAATCATCAACATGCATTTACAGTAATCACATATTTACAGCTGTTTACACCCGCTCTTCTCTTTCCCCAAACACCCGCCAACACCTCCCAACACCCTCCAACACACCCCCATCACCCCTCCCCCCCAACACCCCCAACACCTGGAAGCAGATGTTTACCCCAAGCTGTCCTCGTCACTGTGATCTCGAGTCATAGACCCGTCCTCTTGACTATGTAAATTGGCGGGAGTCACGGAACATTGTGTAACTTGATGCCAACTTGTAATGACTTCTGTACTTATGATCTGAGATGAGATGACAGTCAAGCACAGCTGAGGATATTGTCTTGGCAGGTCGCTTTCCACCATGATGTCCACCTCATACACAACATGGCCAACATGGACCTCATACACAACATGTCCAACATGGACCTCATACACAACATGTCCAACATGGAACTCATACACAACATGTCCAACATGGACCTCATACACAACATGCCCAACATGGACCTCATACACAACATGTCCAACATGGAACTCATACACAACATGTCCAACATGGACCTCATACACAACATGCCCAACATGGACCTCATACACAACATGTCCAACATGGACCTCATACACAACATGGCCAACATGGACCTCATACACAACATGCCCACTATGGACCTCATACACAACATGCCCAACATGGACCTCATACACAACATGCCCAACATATTGCCTATTAGCTTCTCTACTAATGTGAATTGACTTCAGATTCTCTTTAGTCTCTCTTAAGTCCTTTGTTCCTAGTTCTCTGTATTCTTTCCTGGCTAGTTTTGTTCTTTCTTTAACTAGCCTTTATTGTCTATTGAACCAGGGGTTAACATTGTTATGTTCATCCACCTCCTTCTTGAGTGTTCCAAACTGTTCAATTGCCTCGGCACCTTTACCAACAGTGAATACTATCGCCTCATTTACTACCTTCACTTCCTTTATGTTTCACATTGGGCTCCGCGCAGAAAGTCCCTCATGCTGTTGTAGTCCCTGTGGCTCTAATCTCTTTTCTTCTTCAAAGGATTTCCTTTAACCAACACCTTGAGCTGCACTATGTATTCCAGCGTGACACAGCAGTGGTCGCTGGCTCCTAGAGGCATCTCGTGCTCTGTGTCTTCAAGATCTGCTTCGTGTTGAGAGAGCAGCAGGTCTTGTGTTGGTGGTGGATCGTCTCCTCTCACTCTTGTTGGTTCTCTGACGTGTTGCTTTAAGAAGTGTTGGTCTGACATGTCTACCAGTCTTGCTCTCCATGTCTCATCACTCCCGTCGGGGTCCGTAATTATCTTATCTACTTCCCTCTGGTTCAAGTCCTCCAGTATTAGGATTTTTGCTAATATGAACTGCTCATAAAAATAGTTCATTTGGCGAACTAGTCATTCATGTCTACTCGTGTTAATGCTTCGTTAGGCTGGGTAGCCCTATTATCTTTCTCTGTAGTACCTTTATTGTTGTGTTCTTCTTATGTTCTTACTCATTGTGGCATTCTTAAGCTGGTATGCCTCATTATTCCCCTGTGTTCTGCCCTCATGACACATTTGTTCCATCCTGTGTCTTGTTTGTTCCATTTTCTGGCCTCTTTGTATACCTCATTTGCTTCTCTACTCTGAGTCTGTTTGCTGCCTCCCTCTCTTCCTTAGACGTGGCCTCACTAATTAACACTGCACCGTACTTTGTCCTCATCCCTCGAATATCGCTTCACTGCCAGTATATATTGAACTAAGATGCTGTTTATAAAAATAAATAACTTTCACTGATCCATATCTTACTCTCTGAAACTTAGTCTACACAACTGTTCCATGTTCAGTGTGACATCTCCGACCTGAATTGTGTATTGAATTATGTTATTTCGTTCTGTTTTCTCTCTCGTTGTTTGCCATGTGTCGCCCTCAGACTGTGGTAGGCTACATGTTACTACTGATCTCTCCCCCTCCACCCCCTTCAACCCCTCCACCCCCTCCAACTCCCCCCCCCCCCCCCCCCCTCTCCACCCTCTCCAACCCAACTTTCCCGCTGAAGTTTTTGCTGCCTCGGCTAATGTTTTGTCTGGTTTTACTCCCCAAATCACAGTTACATTCTCTGTTGGTTTAATTATCTCCTCCGTTATCCTCCTGCTCACTTCCATTGTTGCCTTCCCTTCCTCTTCCACCGTTCCTATTCTGCTCTCTAACCTATTCACCCTTGCCTTCCTTGTGCAATATATTTCCTTCCGTTCTTCTACCTGGTTCACGGTTGCAGTGGGGAGTTCGTCACTTGTGTCAAGTTTTACCTCTAGGTCTTCAATAACCTCATCCTGTTTGTTTAACATCTCTTGTAACTCTTGAAGCTGTCTTCCCAGAGAAGCTGTCTCTTCTTTAAGTGTCTGTGTTTGTTCTCCCTTTGTCCTTCTCTCCTCCTCCAGCTCCTCCTGCATGTTTGCCTCGCTTCTCACTAGTTCAGCCATGCTTTCTTTATATTCTACTCTGTTCTTCCCTTGCTCCTCGTCCATGCCGTCCTCTAATGCCATAATTCTTTTCCATATGGTTGGGTTTATGTTGTTAGGCCGCTCCATGTGTCTCCTATTTATCCCCCTGGCGGCTGTGCGTGTGGAGCTCGTGCAACACACCAGGTACACCAGCTGAGTGCGGCTTGCATTAGTTGCACAGCGACTCACGTCTCCACCCGACACAGATACGCGTTGTGGTGGCTCCTTGTGTGATGCTTCTGTCAGCTGCCACTGTGGCTTGGGCAGATGGTGAGGCGATGGGGGGGGAGGGTAGGGGGGGTGTTGTCACTCTGGCCAGCAGCTGGTGTGTGTACTCACCTAGGGGTGCTTGCGGGGGTCGAGCTAGGCTCCTGGCCCCGCCTTTCGAACGTTCTTAGATTAATGCAATGACTCAGTTCTCACGCTTTTATTATATTTACATTTACAATGTTGACTCTAATTTGCTTCAACGACTTCTGCATCTAACTTATTCCATTTATTGAGAGCTCTTATACTGACACTGTTCCTCCTGATGTCTCTCTGACTCATTTGCGTCTCCAGTTTACATCTGTGACTCATAGTTCTGCTGTTCCTGGCTGTGAACAACGCTGCTTTATCTACTTTGTCGATTTTTCTTAGAATCTAGTATGTTGTTATCATGTCCCCCCTATATCGCATTTCCTCCAGTGTGGTAAGGTCCAGCTCTCTCAATCTTTCCTCAGATCTCAAGCCCCTCTGCTCTGGAACGAGTCCCGTTGCATATCTTTTTGGATCTTTTCTAGTTCTTCTTGTCCTTTTTCGGGTAAGTGTTCCATGTTTGGGATACATATTCATATGAGTCATCTTCGCTGTATACAGCACCCGGAAAGCCCCTTTGTCCAAGATTCTGAAGGATACACCCGGATGTTGGCCAGCATGCCGTATGCTGCTGTTGTTATTCTGATAATGTGGGCTTCTGGCATCAGATTTGGGGTCATGTCCACTCCCAGGTCTTACTCCTTTTCTTATTAAACAATTTGTCCTCCCTTCATCCTGTACTGTTGTAGTGGTCTTCGTACTCGTGTTCCAATCCTCTTAACTTTGCATTTGGCTGGGTTCCAGCAACCATTGTTGAGAGCACTTCTAGAGTGTGTCCAGATCCTCTTGCATTACATCACACTCTATCCCTGACCTGGCTATTATCATTACTTTGTATCGTCTGCAAACATTAATATGAAGGAGCCAATTTCATCTGTCAGATCATTTACATATATTAGAAACAGGACGGACCTTAGACCCGACCCTTGTGGTACTCCGCTCGTAACCTCTCCTCACTCTGATGCTCTCACTGTAACCCTCTGCTTCCTTCCTGAGGGGTACTCTCTCACCCTTAGTACTCCTCCTGATATGCCAGCCTGCTTCTCTAATTTGTGTAGGAGTCTTTCATGCGGGACCGTATCGAATGCCTTCTGACAGTCAAGGAATATGCAGTCATATCAACCTTGGCCCTTCTTTCCCAGCCGCCACCACAGAGTGAACATTCTTCACAGCAAAACGAACATTTCAGAGTTCACAAATTGTCCAGGTGTAGCGTAGATTATCGCTGCACAAGACACTCACTAAGACCTCGCCCAGACAAAGGCTTTCAAAAGGTTGTTTATCCCACACTAAACTATGCCACCCTGTCTGTGAGGACCACGGGACCCTGACCACAGTAGTTAGTAAATGGAATGCATTAGGCAGTGATGTGGTGGAGGCTGACTCCATACACAGTGTCAAATGTAGATATGATGAAGCTCGAGAAGCTCAGGAATCTGTACACCAGTTGATTGACAGTTGAGAGGCGAGACCAAAGAGCCAAATTTCAACCTCCGCAAGCACAATTAGGTGAGTACAATTAGGTAAGTACACACACTTTAGGGGGGCTCCGCGGCTGAGTGGACAGCGCTTGCGGGTCCTAGTACTAAGGGCCCGGGTTCGATTCCCGGTCGAGGCAGAGACAAATGGGCAGAGTTTGTTTCACCCAGATGCCTCTTTTCACCTAGCAGTAAATAGGTACCTGGGAGTTAGACAGCTGCTACGGGCTGCTTCCTGGGGATGTGTGTGTGTGTGTGTGTGTGTGTGTGTGTGTGTGTGTGTGTGTGTGTGTGTGTGTGTTAGAGAATTATATGTATTAGACATAATAGAGGAAAAAAATTGGTTAGAAAGGCGGGGTTCAAGAGCTAATAGCTCGATTCTGCATTCCCAAATAGTAAATACACACACGCACATACCTCCACAAGAGCCAAGAATTGCAGGTACAAATCTCTCAATGAAGCAGTAATATCAGATGGGTGAGGGAGCAGCCGCTGGAGGCCGTCGCTGGAAGCCGTCGCTGGAGGCCGTCGCTGGAGGCCGTCGCTGGAAGCCGCCGCTGGAGGCCGTCGCTGGAGGCCGTCGCTGGAAGCCGTCGCTGGAGGCCGTCGCTGGAGGCCGTCGCTGGAAGCCGTCGCTGGAGGCCGTCGCTGGAAGCCGTCGCTGGAGGCCGTCGCTGGAGGCCGTCGCTGGAAGCCGCCGCTGGAGGCCGTCGCTGGAGGCCGTCGCTGGAAGCCGCCGCTGGAAGCCGTCGCTGGAGGCCGTCGCTGGAGGCCGTCGCTGGAGGCCGTCGCTGGAGGCCGTCGCTGGAAGCCGTCGCTGGAAGCCGCCGCTGGAAGCCGTCGCTGGAAGCCTCCGCTGGAAGCCGTCGCTGGAAGCCGCCGCTGGAAGCCGTCGCTGGAAGCCTCCGCTGGAAGCCGCCGCTGGAGGCCGTCGCTGGAAGCCGTCGCTGGAAGCCTCCGCTGGAAGCCGCCACTGGAGGCCGTCGCTGGAAGCCGTCGCTGGAAGCCGCCGCTGGAAGCCGTCGCTGGAAGCCGCCGCTGGAAGCCGCCGCTGGAGGCCGTCGCTGGAAGCCGCCGCTGGAGGCCGCCGCTGGAAGCCTCCACTGGAAGCCGCCGCTGGAGGCCGCCGCTGAAAGCCGCCGCTGGAAGCCTCCGCTGGAAGCCGTCGCTGGAAGCCGTCGCTGGAAGCCTCCGCTGGAAGCCTCCGCTGGAAGCCGTCCCTGGAAGCCGTCGCTGGAAGCCGTCGCTGGAAGCCGTCGCTGGAAGCCGTCGCTGGAAGCCGTCGCTGGAAGCCACCGCTGGAAGCCGCCGCTGGAAGCCGTCGCTGGAAGCCGGCCGGGCAACAGTAGACAGTTTTTCAGTCAGTTCCCATTCTCCGAATTTCTGGAGGCGGGCGGCTGGCCAACTCCTTAATGAATTCCAGTTTCCAGGTTATTTCCTGCTCTTGACTTTTTTAACGTTTTGCTGCAAAATTACTTGTTAAGGTGACTTCGTAAATACAGGCAATGGTGCGGGTCTGTGGATGAGTAAAACTACAGTTACAGGCACAGAAAATTACGAGTACAGTTACAGGAAGAGTTACGAGTACAGTTACAGGCACAGAAAATTACGAGTACAGTTACAGGCATAGTTACGAGTACAGTTACAGGCAGAGTTACGAGTACAAGCACAGGCAGAGTTACGAGTACAGTTTCAGGCAGAGTTACGAGTACAAGCACAGGCAGAGTTACGAGTACAGTTTCAGGCAGAGTTACGAGTACAAGCACAGGCAGAGTTACGAGTACAGTTTCAGGCAGAGTTACGAGTACAAGCACAGGCAGAGTTACGAGTACAGTTACAGGCAGAGTTACGAGTACAGTTACAGGCAGAGTTACGAGTACAAGCACAGGCAGAGTTACGAGTACAGTTTCAGGCAGAGTTACGAGTACAGTTACAGGCAGAGTCACACGTCCCGATTTAGGAAAAGTTACAAGTACAGTTTCAGTCAGATTTTCAGGTACAGTTTCATGAAGATTTAATACGGGAACACTTTTATGAAGTTACCTCTACAAGTGAAAGAATTATCCACGGTATTATGGCTGACAATTTATTTAACTCTGGTATAGATCACCGAATTCTGCTGTACTAGAGTGAACAGGCTGAGCCCGTAGCCAACTGTGTGCCAGAGCCTTCATGTGGTCACTTGACCTGATCTCCCGTGTATCAACCTGTTGAGTGAACCAGTTCCTGATGCCAATCAGCCTCGGAGTGAATGATCGCTGATGGAGTGATGTTCTTGAGAATGGCGCTTCCGTCACGAGGCTGTTGAAGGTTGAGAGCCTAGTGCTACGGGTGGCAACTACTGGTAGTCCACGGAGTTGGGCCAGGTGCGGAACTTTAAGGATGTTGGCCTTGTACATAACAGTAAGACCAACTACGTCACGACGATGTTGCAGGCTCTGATGTTCAGACCGTTCCCACCAGACTTGGTCAAGACTAGAGATGAGCCTTCTTTTGCCCGTCTCTCCACCTTGTCTAAAAGTCTGATGAAAGTCTCTCTCTCTCTCTCTCTCTCTCTCTCTCTCTCTCTCTCTCTCTCTCTCTCTCTCTCTCTCTCTCTCTCTCTCTCTCTCTCTCTCTCTCTCTCTCTCTCTCTCTCTCTCTCTCTCTCTCTCTCTCTCTCTCCCTCCCCCCCCAGCATTATAACATCAAAGACCTCGTTACGCTCTCCACTATGATAATTGGCTCTTCCTTTTGACCCAAAAATTTGTGAATCTCTTTTTTTTCTGTTTTAATCCTTTCTTGTTGTGCCTGGCACGTGTGTGGGTCTCCAGTAATGATCATCAGGCAACGGTACATGTTTTTCACAACTATTAATATTTTTAATATATTTGCGACTAAGGGAAATTTTTGCGAGGTATTGTCAAGTATGGTGAGAGACGGGCGCTCGCACGACAAGGTTTACACCCTTGTGAGAGATTAGCAACACATTTACAGCAACAGGGAGAGATTTATGATAACAGGGAGAGATTTAGGATAACAGGGAGAGATTTAGGATAACAGGGAGAGATTTAGGATAACAGGGAGAGATTTAGGATAACAGGGAGAGATTTAGGATAACAGGGAGAGATTTATGATATCAGGGAGAGATTTATGATAACAGGGAGAGATTTATGATAACAGGGAGAGATTTATGATAACAGGGAGAGATTTATGATATCAGGGAGAGATTTATGATAACAGGGAGAGAATTATGATAACAGGGAGAAATTTATGATAACAGGGAGAGATTTAGGATATCAGGGAGAGATTTATGATAACAGGGAGAGATTTATGATATCAGGGAGGGATTTATGATAACAGGGAAAGATTTATGATATCAGGGAGAGATTTATGATAACAGGGAGAGATTTATGATAACAGGGAGAGATTTATGATATCAGGGAGAGATTTAGGATAACAGGGAGAGATTTATGATAACAGTGAGAGATTTATGATATCAGGGAGAGATTTATGATAACAGGGAGCGATTTATGATAACAGGGAGATATTTATGATAACAGGGAGCGATTTATGATAACAGGGAGATATTTATGATAACAGGGAGAGATTTATGATAACAGAGAGATTTATGATAACAGGGAGAGATTTATGATATTAGGGAGAGATTTATGATAACAGGGAGAGATTTGTGATATCAGGGAGAGATTTACAACTACAGTGAGAGCTTTGTAACAAGAAGAAGAGATTTATATTAATAGTGAGAGATTTGTGATAGCAGAGAGATATTTATAACAACAGGGAGATGATATAATAACAGAGAGATTTAGAGCAACAAAGAGAAATTTACAACTACAGGAAGATATTTATAACAACAGGAGAGATTTATATTCACAGGAAAAGATTTACAACTGCGGGAAGTGTTACAACCTCGTGAGATTTACAGCCATGGTGAGATATTTACAACCACAGCGATAGATTTACAACCACAAGGAGATACTACCACAGCGATAGATTTATAAGGAGACATCAACAACCAGAAGGATATATTTACAAGTGTACTTATGATATAAGTACAAGGGCCAGATTTACAACTACATAAAAATATTAAAAGTACAGAGCAAATATAGATCTGCGATTAACATAATAAACTAGAGGGTGATATGGTCTCTTGTGAAGTTTTTACAAGCATATTAGTTCATCTGTTATATTAGTTCATCTGTGTTGTGTGCTCCCTGTGTTTGTCCCTTGTGCTCTTATTGTACTTTTTGCCTCTAAGCACAGTCTGGTAAACCACGGGCAACTTTATATCTTGGCTCCTTTATCCCTTATGAGTGATATCAATATCCTTTAGCTTCTCTGCATTGGCTAGTTATGATGTGTATCATGTTCTGTGTGAGTCTTGTTAGTTCTGTTTCCCCCCCCCCCCATGGTATCTTATTGTCTGACCTTGTGGTCTCTCTCTCTCTCTCTCTCTCTCTCTCTCTCTCTCTCTCTCTCTCTCTCTCTCTCTTCTCTCCTCTCTCTCTCTCCCTCTCTCTCTCTCTCTCTCTCTCTCTCTCTCTCTCTCTCTCTCTCTCTCCTCTCTCTCTCTCTCTCTCTCTCTCTCTCTCTCTCTCACCCCCTCTCTCTCTCTTCCTCTCTCTCTCTCTCTCTCTCTCTCTCTCTCTCTCTCTCTCTTCCCCTTGTCTTCCTCTTGTCAGAGTCATCATAATACTACGTCATCACAAACACTAACACACAATGGTCACTTGCCTCCAGTGGCAACATTAAGAACATACGCGATGTTCTCAATGTCCATTTGGGTGTGTGTGAGGAGCAGGTCTGTTGCTCCCCTTCTCTTCTCCCAAGGTCCCGTGTGTGTGTGTTGCATCAGGAAGTTCTACATACTATTTGTATCAGCTTCGATCTCCACTTCTTTTCTCCACGTCTGGGATGTAGTAATTCCCAGCCAGTTTGTCCAGGACTTAATTTTCCATTACTATGAGCTTCGCTCTCAGTGAAAGATATATTTCAGCCACACGTTGGAGGATATTTATTGCAAAAGTTTGTAATGTCTTGTCTTCTGTGATTGGAGATTGTTCAACACAGCCGCACCCACAGTTCGGCTGTTAATTTCCTTCCACTGAAATGGCTTCCGAGTCTGCAGAATTGGTTATCCTCTTGAATACTTTCATGTTCAAAACTATTGTCTGGTTGGATCAGCAGTGCTGCTTCCCCTCTTCCTCCCTATGCTTTCTTTCTCTTCTTGTTCTCTGGCATTGTCTGGGGATTATTGCACAAGTGATCCTATGGTTAGTTGTAAAGGCTTCTATTTGTGGTGTAACGTCAGAGTTTGTTTTATCATTCCTTTATTGGAGCTCATCCATTTTGTTTGACATTATATCAGCATTTGTGTACCAAAGTTTTAGGTTCTTCATTGTTACTTTGGTCTGTACATGAGCAGCTACTGGCCTGGTGGTGGGGTATTGGGCTGGGCAGGCGTAGACAGTGGTGGTGAGTGAGTGAGTCTGACAGTGGGGGTGAGTGAGTCTGACAGTGGGGGTGAGTGAGTGAGTCTGACAGTGGGGGTGAGTGAGTAAGTCTGACAGTGGGGGTGAGTGAGTCTGACAGTGGGGGAGAGTGAGTGAGTCTGACAGTGGGGGTGAGTGAGTGAGTCAGTGAGTCTGACAGTGGGGGTGAGTGAGTAAGTCTGACAGTGGGGGTGAGTGAGTCTGACAGTGGGGGAGAGTGAGTGAGTCTGACAGTGGGGGTGAGTGAGTGAGTCTGACAGTGGGGGTGAGTGAGTGAGTCTGACAGTGGTGGTGAGTGAGTGAGTCTGACAGTGGGGGTGAGTGAGTGAGTCTGACAGTGGTGGTGAGTGAGTGAGTCTGACAGTGGTGGTGAGTGAGTGAGTCTGACAGTGGGGGTGAGTGAGTGAGTCTGACAGTGGGGGTGAGTGAGTGAGTCTGACAGTGGGGGTGAGTGAGTGAGTCTGACAGTGGGGGTGAGTGAGTGAGTCTGACAGTGGGGGTGAGTGAGTGAGTCTGACAGTGGGGGTGAGTGAGTGAGTCTGACAGTGGGGGTGAGTGAGTCTGACAGTGGGGGTGAGTGAGTGAGTCTGACAGTGGGGGTGAGTGAGTGAGTGAGTCTGACAGTGGGGGTGAGTGAGTGAGTCTGACAGTGGGGGTGAGTGAGTGAGTCTGACAGTGGTGGTGAGTGAGTGAGTCTGACAGTGGTGGTGAGTGAGTGAGTCTGACAGTGGGGGTGAGTGAGTGAGTCTGACAGTGGGGGTGAGTGAGTGAGTCTGACAGTGGGAGTGAGTGAGTGAGTCTGACAGTGGGGGTGAGTGAGTGAGTGAGTCTGACAGTGGGGGTGAGTGAGTGAGTGAGTCTGACAGTGGGGGTGAGTGAGTGAGTCTGACAGTGGGGGTGAGTGA